TTCTCCCCCCTCCAAAAAAAAAAAAAAAAAAGAGCCAGAAGTGGAGCAGTGGCTTAAGTGGTAGAGAAGTGGTAGAGTGTTAGCCTTGGGCAAAAGAAGCTTAGGGACATCACCCAGGCCAAGTTCAAGCCTTAGGACCAGCACCAAACAAACAAACAAGAAAAAATTTCAAAGAGATCCAGGGGTAAGACTCATAAGGTAAGGAGCCAACAAAGATGTATCAATAAAGCAGAATAAAACAGGGAGAAGTAAGGAGAAAGAAAAGTACCACCTGACATATGCTGACCACTTTAATGAGTGGTTTTCATCCTAAGCTGGAGTTTTCAGTTTAAACTCCCCGAAATAAATGGTGACCTGGCAACCCAAAACATGTTAAGACAAATGCTTCTGAAGAAACTCAGTCATCTTGTGGGTTGGCAGAGCAGCAGCAGGAAGACTGGAGTTCAATCCTACTGTTGACAAGGAAATAAACTGCTAGTTGAGATATTCATCCCACAGACATAGAATATGTAGTCCGTACTTTCATAGTGAAGAAACATTAGTCATTATATGTAGACAGTATGTTCCTTCAAAATTCACATATTGAAGTCTTAGCCCTCCAGTGTAATATTTGGAAGTGAGGCCCTTGGGAAGTTATATAAGTTTCCTTATAAAAGAGGGTTTGGGGCTGGAGATGGACCTCCATGGTGGAGGATGTTTAGTATGTATTAGGTTCTGCTATTTATTTATTTCAAATAGTTGTACAAAGGAGTTTCAGTTTATAGGTACAATGCATGTTGATCAGACACTCCTTCTATCATCCCACCTCCCATCCATCTTGGGTTTTATAGCCAATATCACAACAAAACAAAACAAAACAGAAAACCCTACCTCTTCTACCTTGTGAGGGCACAGTGAGAAGACAGCTGTCTATAGGCCAAGAAACAGGTCCTCACCAGACTTGGAATTGCTGGCACCTTAATTTTGGACTTCCTAGTGATATAGGGAAGCAGTAGGAATAGCTGTAGCAAGCAACCTGAAAACAATAAAACATACAGGCTTTCAGTTGCAATGCTGCATATCTGTAATCCTAGCTAAAACAGAGGCATAGATAGGAGTATCACAGCCCAAGGACAGCCTCATGTCAAAAGTGTAGGATATATCTGAAAAGATGGCTAAAGCAAAAAAGGTATTGGAGGGCAGATGTGAATGGACCAGTATCTGTCTAGTGAGTATAAAGCCTTGAGGTTGAAGCCTACTACCACCACTGAAAACAAATAAGTAAACAAGAAAACAAAAACCCCTTCTCTATGATGAGAGGCAAGCAATTACTTTTCTTGTGGCAAACAGATAGACAGAGAACTAAAGGCAGACAGGTTAAGATAACCAACTGACCAGGTACCTGTAACTCATACTTGTAACCCTAGCTACTAGGAAGCTGAGATCTGAAGACTGAGGTTAAAAACCAGCCCAGGCAGGAATGTCCATGAGACTCTTATCTCCAATTACTCACCAAAAGGCTGGAAGTAGAGAGAGCCAGCCTTGAGTGAAAAAGCTCAGGGACAGTACCACAGGCCTTGAGTTTAAGGTCCAGTACTGGTACACACACACACACACACACACACACACACACACACACAATCACCAAGACAGCAACAGTCTGATGGAGGACATTTTATACTTCTGGGTAGTGAGATTTCTGCTGAGAAAAGTTATAACACAAGTTTGGACCCATTTTGAACTACGTGCAAAGTGATGCTTATGTAAAGTCCCCTCCCTTTCCTAGAAAAAAAGCACAATTCCCAGAAAGGGCATGAATATTCAAACATTCCCCATAAAATGAAATGTACATCTTGTTCATGGCTGCTCTGCCTGTGGAATAGCCTGCTATACTTTTTTTTTTTTTTACTGTAATATACTTTCACTTTTTGTGTACTTCCGTAGTGCTTGTCTTGTTTCTGAGAGTTTTAGTTGTATCTTCTTTTTTGTTGTTGTTGTTGGTCGTGGGGCTTGAACTCTGGGCTTGGGCGCTGTCCCTGGGCTGTTTAGCTCAAGGCGAGCACTCTACCACTTGAGCCACAGCGCCACTTCTGGTTTTCTAATAGTTTATTGGAGATAAGAGTCTTATAGACATTCCTGCCCGGGCTGGCTTTGAACTGTGATCCTCAGATCTCAGCCTCCTGAGTAGCAAAGATCACAGGCGTGAGCCGCCCACACCTGGCTTGGGTCTTCAATTCTTGTATTCCTATGAGAAATGATTTCAAGCAAAACATGAAACATAGTGATAAAGCCACATTTATTAAGAGAAGGAATAATATGCACCTATACAAGAGAGTGAGTCATTTAAGAGAGGAGATAATAAAATTTCTAAACAATGTTGAGCAGTAAAACTATCTTTTCTTTTCTTTTCTTTTTTTTTGGATAACCAAGTCATGGCTCTCAACCACCAAGTTTCCTGATTCTCTGTCTAGCCCTTATATTAGTCTGGTTTCTATCCTACATGAAACAAAGCATTCACCTGGTCAGTGACATCAGCCTACACAACAGTGAGAAATAAATTTATTTATAAGCCACTCAGTCTATGGTATTCTAACAGCCTGAATGACTTTAGATAGTAATAGGAAAGAACCTGAATAATTCATCTCATTGCTTATATTCATAAACATGAAGGGACAACTAACCAATGGTTTTAAAACAGTTGAATAAAAAACCATCAGAGGTGAAATCAACAAAGAGAATTCACCCTACAGGAAACACAGAGTGCTCATGGAACAGAGACAAACTTTTAAAAAATAAGTTCACATTAACATGCTGAGAGTATTTTACAAATGCACAGTAAAATACTTGTAAAATATTAACAGGTGTGGGGCTGGGAAGGTGGCTCAGTGGTAGAATGCTTGCCTTGCATGCATGAGGCCCTGGGTTCGAATCCTCAGTACCACATAAGTACTGTGGCTCAAGTGGTAGAGTGCTAGCCTTGTACTGAAGAGCTGAGGGACAGCACTCAAGCCCAGAGTTCAGGCCCCATGACCCTCAAAAAAAATACTAACAGGTGGTTCCACAAAAGGTAAATAATGTTATAAAAATATGATTATAAAATAGGGCAGAAGGCATGGTTCAGCAGCATAATGCCTGGCTGGCAGAGTTGAGGCTCTGAGTTCAACGCAAACAAAATATGATTAGAATTAGAACACCAACTGTAATAAAATCATATTGATATGAATTCCCTAATATGACTCAAGAGAAAGGCTAGAGGAATGAAAGTGAAGTACTCCTCCAGAGTGTAGCATATGGCAGGGAAAATAAAAAGTTGAAAGACATAGATGAACCACTAAGAAGGACTAACATATATCTAATAGAAGTTCTGGTTTGAGAACAGGAAAAAAGAAAGCAAAAATAATGGATCTCCCAGAGATAAGGGAATAACCAAAACTTCTCTTTGAAAGGTCTTATCCACTGCTAACTCATAAGAGTGAAAAAAAGATTCAAGTCTAAGGCCAGGTACAGTGGCTCCTACTTTGTAAACCCAGCTACATGGGTGGTGGAGATCAGGTAGACTGTGGCTCAAGTAGAAAACTAGAGAAATCTCATCTTAACAGAAAATTTGAGAGGGATATCACACACCTGTGGTCCCAGTAATGTTGGCTGTGGAAGGCCCTGAGAAGGATCAAGGTTCAGCCTGGCCCAGAGGGGGGAAAAAGGGAAAAAGAAAGGGAAAAATAACCTAAAGCAAAAAAGGACCGCAGGCATGGCTCAAGTGGCAGATTTGATCAAAGTTCCCTCATACTAGACCCATGTCTGGTAATATTCAGGAGAAACTTCACAAGACTAAAGACAAAAAGAAACTCATCCGAACTGCAAAAAAGAAAAAAAAAGTAGCTGCATTAAAAGAATGACAAATACATTAACAGTACACTTCTTTCTAGCTGACTTGTTGCATGGAAACAAGAGAACAATGCCTTTTAAAAAATTTCTCAAGGAAGCCAGGTAATGGTGGCTCATGTCCATCTGCAAATTCTAATCAGAAGTCTGAGATCTGAGGATAGATGTTTTTTTTTTTTTTGTTTTTTTTTGGGTCCGGTCGTGGGGCCTGAACTCCGGGCCTGGGCACTGTCCCTCAGCTCTTCAGCTCAAGGCTAGCGCTCTACCACTTGAGCCACAACGCCACTTTTGGCTTTTTTTTTCTTTTTGCTTATGTGGTGCTGAGGAATCGAACCCAGGGCCTCAGGCATGCAAGGCAAGGGCTCTACCACTGAGCCACCTTCCCAGCCCCATGAGGATAGATGTTTGAAGCCAACCTTAGTAGAAAAGTCTGTGAGATTTTTATGGCCAATTAACCAACACACACACACACACACACACACACACACGACTGAAAGCACGGCTCAATTGGTAGGGTGTTTGTCTAGCAAGCATGAGCAATGGTTTCAATCTTCCGGTACTAAGAAAACTCTTTATAGAGCTGGAGGTCTAGCTTATTGGAAGAGCACTTGCCTAATACAAATGAGATCCAGGGTTTGAGTCCCAGTACCATAAACAAGATACAACAAAACCTCCCCGAACAAAGCAAACTTGAAAGAATGAAACTACGGAAATATCTACAGAAAATTAACTCACATTCGAGAATACAGTAATATGAGCTGTTAATGACGAGTGGTATCTCTACAGGTTGGGAAAAAGATAAAGGAAACGGAGAATGTCACCCAACAAGAGACCTCGAATTAGGGAAAGAGCCGAGAAGCTGGCCTTCCGGTGTCAGAGGTGGGAAACGACTTCGAGAGAGCGAAGTCATACACAGGACGTGGAGCTGAGTGCTGCACGCTGAGGGGAAGGGGCCGGACAAAGGGGGCAGCACTGAGCGGAAGGGGCGTGGCGTAGGACAGTGGCACGCAGGCATTTGCAGTTGCCGCGCATGCGCAGCCCAACTGTCACGTGCCGGTTGGAGCGCCTTCTGCTGCTGGGCCTTGCTTGCTTCACCTCACTCCGTGTCCGTGTCCGGTGTCTCGGTGTTTTGGTTCGCCATGTCTCACCTGTCGCTGCTCGGTTCTTCCCTCCTTCGCCACCGCATAGTCCTGCTTGGTCGACGCCTGGCCAGTTCAGAGGCTCCCCACCAGAATGAAATAACGGCTGGGGTGAGGCGGGGCAGAGTTGGCGGGAAGCCCGAGGCTGAGGCCGAATATAGGGGGGGGGTGAGGAGACAGCTTGGCTGCTGTGGAGGAGCCAGTGAGGTCCTGGAGTTGTGAGGGTTGGGGAGGAGGTTCTCTGGTGGCGCCACCCCACCAGAGGCTCAGGCTTGGGTTCTTGTGGGGGCGCCCGTCCTGGTGTCTGGGTGGATGACTCTGCAGGCGTGGACCAGGCCCGGGACTTTGTTTGTGTGGTGACCCAGGGTGGATAGAGCATTGTTCATTGAAGAGTTTACCACCTTTGAACCGTCTTTTCATTGCCGAGACCTGATATTGCCTCTAAAATGGTAGAAACGCTGGGCAACATTAAAGTTCCCGAGTATAGAGATCATAGAGGTCTGAACCTGGCACTCTTGGAAGTAAGTTTTCTTTAAAAATTTAATGACATCGTCTATGAATTGAATTCCAGTACTCTGCCAAAATCCACAAATCATCTGAAGCCCTCATCCCCACCTTAGAAGGGTATTGAAAACCTAGGGCCTTGTAGAGGTTCATGCTCTGCCACTGGATAATGTACACCTTAGCCCTTAAGCAGTTTTTGTTAGGCAGTGAATCACTAGTTGAATCCATAGTCATTTAACGAAGTTTTTCATCTTTTCCAGGAACAGGCTATTGGACTTCTGGTGTTTTTTACCTCCTGTTTAATCCCTGCGGCATATATACTTAGCAAACTGGAATATTACAAAGAAGTGTAGATGGAAGAAGTTGAGCACCATTTTGTCCCAAAGAGCTTTCAGAAAAGGCTGTGGCTTCTTAAATTAACAATGGAGTCTACTGTGAACTTTGAATATCATAGCCATATGATTATGGCAAATATTTTGCGCTTTTGAGTAAAGCATACTTTGTAGGTCCATTGTCAAAACCTTGTTTCTGCTTAAGTATTAAATAAAATTGAAACATTTATGCTTTGCATATGTTTGATCACATATTTGTTCTTGTCAGTGCCTTGAACATACAAGGCAAATGGTCTACCACTTTAGTTGTATCCTCAGCCTTTAATAGATTGTTTTCTAAATATAGAAAACTGATGAAATTTTGATGATGAAAAATATAATAGGAACTACTATGAAAGGTCAGACATAGGAATTTGGAGTGACACCAGGTAATATTTTGTAGGAGTAAATGTTTATATCTAATAACAGCTTTAAAAGATTAGATGTATAGCTGTATAAGTAGTAGTTATAAATTTAGCTAAGTGAGTTTTGTGATTTATTAGTATTGCTACTTCATTATTTGCTGTGAGAAATATAACTCCCCACTTAACCTGGGGATTGAACCTGTGGCTACTGACATGCTTAAGCAAGCTGTCTGTCACTAAGCTCCAGCCTCATATTAGTTTGTGATTGCTTCTTTAAATTCTTAACATTCCAGGATTTGGTAAGTAAATGTGAACTTTGTACCTCTAATTTATGATTTTGTTAGTATTTTGGTTATTTTAACAGGTTTGATACAAGGTTGCTATAGTTGGCTTATATTTTTGGATCAAGTACTTGTTGGGTCTTCACTAGTAGACTGAAAAGAAGGGATTTAACTCTAAAAGAAGTTTTCACTCTTAGGGGAAGTCAGTGTTTTTCTTAGAGCCTTCAGTTGATTGAAGGAAGCGGGATCTGTTTTAGCCTCCTTATTTAAATGTTCATCTCACTTGTCCCAGAAACAGCCAAAATACTGATTAACCAGATATCTGTACCACAGCCTGGCCACTTTGAAGTATATAATCCTCATAATTGGGTAAAAATATGTAATCAGTGTCTTAGCAATTTTTTTTGGTCGGTCATGGGGCTTGAACTCTGGGCTTGGGCGCTGTCCCTCAGCTCTTCAGCTCAAGGCGGGTGCTCTACCACTTGAGCCATAGCACCACTTCTGGTTTACGAGTGGTTTATTGGAGATAAGAGTCTCACGGATATTCCTGCCCCGGCTGGCTTTGAAACCGCAATCCTCAGATTTCAGCTTCCTGAGTAGCTAGGATTACAGGCGTGAGCCACCGGCACCGGCTTGTCTTAGCAATTTATCAAGATCTACCTTGCCTCTGCACAGGTGACAAACTTCCTTTTAGGCCCTTTAAATGAAATCTGGTGACAAACTTCCTTTTAGGCCCTTTAAATGAAATCTGGCCCATCAGAGTTAACCCAGTCTTTTAGTCTTTCACATCCAACAAAACCTTACTACTTTTGCTTCATTTTCCCCCCTCTGATTCTGATGGATTTGTATTTTCTAATGACTACCTCCACATAATGGCAAAAGATTGTTTACCTTTGTCCTGGCTAAGGAAGAATAGCGGATGTTCTGTCTATAGAACTGTTCTGATCCATTTATTTGACACTCCCTTATTGAGTAATCTCATGCATTAATACTGTGTGTTGGGAAGTGGTAGCTCATTTTGTTGTAATGTTCTCTCACTGCTTAATTTCACATGCATGAAGGTGTTACATTCAAAGTACAATTGATTTTTTTTTTGTTATTTGAGGAGGTTATGTTCTATAAAGTTGTTGTGAGCATTGAATTATTTAATACTGAACTATTACTCCAACCAGAAGTATAGGATTGAGTTCCTGTGAGCCTCTGGTAACAATTGTTTCTTTTGTGGTAGTAGAGTTTGAATTCAGGGCCTTGTGCTTGTCAAGCAAGTGCTCTCAGCTCTTCCTCCAGCCCTATTTGTATTGGTTACTTTTGAGATAGGGTCTAATTGTTTTTTTGTTTTTTTTTTTTTGTCATGTGGCTTGAACTCTGGGCCTGAGCGCTGTCCTTCAGCTCTTCAGCTCAAGGTGAACACTCTACCACTTGAGCTACAGCGCCACTTCCAGTTTTCTGGTGGTTTTTATTGGAGATAAGAGTTTCATGGACTTTCCTGCCCGGGCTGGCTTTGAACCATGATCTTCAGATCTCAGCTTCCTGAGTAGCTAGGATTACAGGTGTGAGCCACCAGTGCCCGGCGATAGGGTCTAAGTCTATGCCTTGGCTGGCCTAGACCATCTCCTATTTGGTTTCTCCTTGTTGCTGGCATATACGATGTGTCACTCACCCAGGGTTGGGCAAGAGAAAGTGGTGATAACATTTTTGATAACTTCTCAATATATAGCTTGTTTTAGCATCAGGTAACCATACTTATGAATCATTTCTTCACAGAGTTTCAGCTTTAATTACTTTTGGAAGGGTTAGGACAAGTGATTAATTTGGAATTTGACAACATTCCCTGAATAGTTTTCTTCAAAACTGTTTTTGGGTTCCTTGTTGCCTGGACAAGCTTTGTCCCAGTAAATGTTTCTTTGTTACTGGGATGAGATGTTGTCCTGTTTGGCCTGATTTCACTTTGGAGGTCAGCAACAGGTCAGGTGGGAGTCAAGGCTAAACTTAGGCAGCAAAGAGTTCTAGAAAGGATTGCCCTGAAGCTGAGCATACCTGGAGTCTATTGAGTTTTTGTGTTGTTAGAATTAAGAATACATAAGCACAAAGCCTATGAAGGACTAGCATTATTAAAGTTTTAGCTTCAAGGACACCAGTAAAGTGTTTTCCTAAGCTTTGCATCAGAGAAAGCTTACATACTTGAAGGAACATAATTTAACATATAGAACCAGCAGTTACAGCTCTACATACTTTTATTCAGATATGTAGGGCCCTAAATATTAGATCATTTAAAATTTTATTTGATTTGCTAATTAAGATGTACAAGCAATTACTTTCATAGAACATTTTTTTAACTCAGTAAAGTAATAGGGCTTGAACTCTGGGTCTGGGCACTGTCCTTGAGCTCTTCAGCTCAAGGAAAGCACTCAACCACGCTCTACCACAGCACTACTTCAGTTTTCAGGTTCCTGTTTGAGCTGGCTTTGAACTGCATTCCTCAGATCTCAGGCTCCTGAGTAGCTAGAATTACATGCGTAAGCCACTGGTACCTGGCTTTTAAGCTTTTTATGTAGTAATAACTTACAAAAAACACACTTGTTAATAAACCAAACATTAGGAAGTAATTGAACCCAAACCGTATTTATGTCAGAATGAAACAGATTAAGCTCCTTTGTTTAAATAACAATATTTATTTAAACAGCCACCATACTTGAAGGCTCTCTGAGCAATTGTTCATTTAGGCAGGCAAGATGGCTGCCTGAGTTTTGAAGAGGACAGTTTTTTCTTTAGTCCAGAGCCTGAGAGTTAATTCCCAAATGCCCTCATTTTAGTTAGACCCAATTGAGATAATTTTTATAAAAAGGGACAATAGTTTTAATGTATTAACTTTGTACTAGTTTAAGAACCATCCTAAATATATTTACACACACTACATTCAAATTTTAAATTCAGGGCTGGGAAGGTGGCTCAGTGGTAGAGTGCTTGTCTTGCATGCATGAGGCCCTGGGTTCGATTCCTCAAGCACCACATAAGCAGAAAAAAAAAAGCCAGAAGTGGTGCTATGGCTCAAGTGGTAGCACACTAGCCTTGAGCTGAAGAGCTGAGGGACAGCGCCCAGGTCCACAGTTCAGGCCCCACAACCGGTCCCCCCCCCAAAAAAAAATTCAGTGTTCCAAGACAAACTTGCATAAAAATGAAAATCAGCCATAATAATTAGTTGCTTTCGGGGCTGGGAAGGTGGCTCAGTGGTAGAGCGCTTGCCTTGCATGCATGAGGCCCTGGGTTCGATTTCTCAGCATCACATAAAAGAAAAAAGCCGGAAGTGGCACTGTGGCTCAAGTGATAGAGCGTTAGCCTTGAGCTGAAGAGCTGAGGGACAGTGCCCAGGCCCAGAGTTCAGGCCCCATGACCGGACCCCCCAAAAAATAATAATAATTAGTTGCTTTCTGAAATTCCAGGGTCAAGTGAAGTTTTAGCTCAATGTTTGATAGACTAATGTACAAAAAATACCTATGAATAAGTTTATTAATTTAGGGTACTCACATATACTTTTAGCTATAGGTTAATTGTACTTCTATCTGGGGGTTACAAGATGGTGAGGACTTTCCTGCCATCCTGCTGTGAGAGCCATCATGGTGGAGGTGCCCTTTGTGGAGTTTGTTGGCTGGAGGTAACCATAAACATTTTCCAAATAGCGTTTAGAATGGGATATATAAGACCTGTTAAACATAACATATAAAAATAAACAAATAGGACATTTCTACATTTTTCTTGTTTGTGTCACTAGATACTAAAGGCAGTAGAAGCAATTTAAGATGCTTTCTCAAACTAAGCACTATTTTAATTTCTGATATCCTGGAGAATGAAATGAAACAAATGGAACTTTTTCTTCACTGGGACTTTAATAAGCACAAAAATGTCTGTGGAGAGCAAAAGACTTTTCCTCAGGGCGGAGTGTTGAATGACCAATCTATCCAGAAAGTTAGGGCAGTAGAAACATGGAATGGGAGGTTTTCAGAGGAAAAATTTAATTTCTTGGGAGGAGCCATTGGACTTTTGTGGACTTTTAAACATAGACATTATGTGTTCATTCAAACCTGGTATGTGATGGAGATAGGTCAGAGTTATCAACATCAGAAGGAGTTAAGTGGATGTCCTCCAGGGATTGGAAGAAGGAGAAGGAATGGAAAGATATCTATGAGGAATTAGAAAAGGGAGAGAGCTGTGGGGAAGGGCAATGTCTTGGAAAAGAGGAGGGCTAGAAAAGAGTCTGGATCATGCATGTGGGCAGAGAGCTGGGGATCAGCCAGAATGCCAAAAGAACTTAAAGGAATTTTAGAGGAACCTTAGCAGG